GGTGTGAAATTGCCCTGGACCTCAGGATTCAGAGAGGAAGAGCAGCTCAGATTTAGAACAAGGCGATGCATCTGAGAGAAGGGCAGTGGCCCGGGTCTTAGGCACTAAAGTACAATTTAGTCTAACTAGATGAGGGGGCCACTTAGGGGGGGTGCTCTGGTGACATCCAGCCATCGTTTAGAGGATCTAACTCGGAATTTTCAGAGTGAATAGAAATTTAATCATGAAGTGGCTCTGAGCACTTCACCCTCAGAGGGTCCGTATCTCTCCAGGCTGGAGGCCCCTGGTTCAGCTCTCCTTGTGCCTCTCTCTGTCTTTCCTCCATCCCTTGGCACCCTCCTCCAGTGCCATGGCATGATGCCATCTATTTGTGAATGATTCTATGCTGGGACCTCAGATTGGTGTGTCTAGCTGTGTTCCTGATGTCTCACTCTGGCAGACACGCCCAAGCTGAGCTCTGCTCTGCCTGATCCAAATGTGCTCCACCTCCAGTCCTCCCCAGCTCAAACCAACTCCATCCTTCTGCTGCTCCGCCAAAACCACACAGTCATCCTGAGTGCTTGTCCTCCTACACCCACATCCAGTGTGTCAGGAAACACTGTTAGTTCTACTTCCAAAACAGATCCAGAGTCTGACCATGTTTCATAGTGCTTCATTGCTGCCTCATGGTCCCAATCCCCCACCTGGATTACTGACTGTATTTACCTTCTAAATGCTCTTCTGACTTCCACCTTGACTCTTATAGATAGCTGGATAGTTCTTTAAATAACGGAGTCAGATCATATGATACCTCTGCTCGCAGCCACCAGGATGTGCCCTTCTTGCTCTGAGTAACAGCTCAGACCTGGCCCCTCTCACCTCTATGGACCCCACTCCTCCCCCCCCCACATTGGCTTACCTGGCCCCTCTCACCTCTATGGACCCCACTCCTCCCTCCCCCACACTGGCTTGCAGGACCCCTCCTGCATGGAAGCTCTTCTCCCAGATATGGATAACTCCTCACATCCTTCCCATCTTTGCTTTGCTCAGATGCCACCTCCTTAAGAAAGCCCATCTTATTTAAAGTATCACTTGCCTCCACTGCTCCCTAACACCCCTGGCCCCCTTACCTGGTGCTGTGCTCCCCCCCCCCCAAAGCACTCCAACATCTTCAAATATACTGTTGACTTCCTCATTTTCTGTACTTACTGTTCCTTGTCTATTTAGTCCTCTCTAGAAAGCCCGAGGGCTTTTTGTTTTGGCCACCCATGCATCCCAGGTGCTTAATACAGTGCATGACACGTGGAAAGTGGGACTATAAATGCTGTGGAATGAATGACTGATTGATGGTTCTCAGAAGTGGTGGGAAATCCATTTTCTGAGTGGGAGGGGGCACCATAGCCTGGCAAAGGCAAGGAAGAAAAAAGAGATGGGTTCCAATGTAGGAAATATTTGGAGGGATATTGGGATAAATGAGGCATCTGGTGAGGGAAATGAGAATGGATTCCTGAGGCTTAAAGGAATTAGAGATGATGGGTCACAGGTGAAAAACTCTCATGGATTCCCCTGAAATTCAAGTGTGGATTACCTGCAAATAGAACACAAGCCTGATAATCCATGTCTTGTGATGACTGTATGTCTAGAAAAATCTGGGAAGGCCTGGAGCAGAACCCATGGATGCAGGAATTTCTAAAGAATCCTGTGGGACTGGGAAGAAGATCTTAGAGCTATCCATTAGCAATCTGGAGCAGAAGGATGTGGGTGGAGGGAGCTACCTCCAAGACCAAGAACTATTGTTCACATAACTTGCCGTCAATGCTGATTGTCATCTGAGTGCAGGGTTACACCAGAACTGTGCTTCTGGCATAGGCCTATTGAAGCCTGTGCTTGCTGTCATTGGGTTGTTCCTATTGGTTGTTGCCGTGAGTCTAATCATATCTGGGGAAGGAGTGCACTGACAATGTCTGTGGGCTATAAGTTACAATTAGACTAGGGAGATGGTCTTGGATAGAGACCAGGTCCTCCAAGTTATCCCAGCAGGGGTTTTAGAGAGAATGTCATTGGCTTGAGTGCCACATTTGTCTAACCTTTCACAGCACTTTTACATAGAGCTTTTAAATAGATGCTCTTATATGAGCTTCAAAAGCCACTGCTGTAAATGTCATATTCTTTTGACAGATGAGGAAGTTAAGTCTTAGGGCATTTTGGTAACCAAAGAAGCTAGACTCAAAAAATTGCCAGTTTTCTGACTTCAAGCCCAGCCCTTACTTTTCCCAACCACCCTTGGGTGATGTTATATTTGTTCTTTCTGTTCAAAGATATTATTTGTGTGGGAGAAGGGAGAAAGTAGCCCAGAAATAAGTGTTGTGTTTTGGACACCCTCTCTGGCTCTCTGTCACGGACACTGCTGCCATCTCCTCATAGACGATCCTTCAGTGTGACTTTATAAACACCCAAGGTCCTCAACAGGGGAGAGAGCAGAGCATGACACTGTGGGATGGAGGGAGGCTGGGAGCAGAGAGAGGTGCACAAGGCAGCTAAGAAGTTATTTCTTATTTAGAAAAAAAATCTTTGTGGTTATTTAAATTATAAATTACAGAAAGTAAAATTTGAATAAGTTCTGGCAGGTGTGAGGACTCCAGGAGGGACGTGTGAGATTTGTATGTTTATAAAAAGATACCATGAGTTAAGAGATAGAGGGACTCTGGCCTAGGCCAAGGTGAACTGGTCACACACAGGAGGCCTAGATTCCAGCTCTGGGACAGTAAAGAGACTAAATCTCTCCATCGTGACCTTTAGCACCAGCAACTTGGGGATGAGGTGGTTTTTTTTTGTTTTGTTTTGTTTTTGTCTTTGTTTTTGCCTGATACATTCACAGGAGAGTTAAGAATTAAATGAGATAAAAGCAAAAGTGAATTGTAAATAGAAAACCACTGTACAAATGGAAGAATCTGCTTGATGGTTTCAGGCTCCTCCCTTTTCCTGCCCCTACCTCCCTACTCCCCCAGTATAGCCACTTTTCCTACAGAAATTTGATATCCTAGGACACATATATGTACACACACACACACACATTTACCTTTTGTTTTTCTTTTGAAAGCATGAATATTTTGAGATAGCATGGCAGGTTGATGCTATATATTTTATCAGTATTTTACTCCACAAAGGAGCCCCTGGGACCACAACGGGTCCTCTTTGCCATTGTGGGAAGCAGCTTGCTGTCCTTCTTGTAATTTTCTGTCATGGGGTTCTGAGCCCCTATGCATAGACTTTCTTTCCTGTTACCATTCCCGTGGTGCCCCCAGTGCCAAGTACTGCATGGCACAAGCTTTGGCCTTTAAGCTCATGGTCTGGAACAGCATCAGGGAAACACCTCAGGGCTCATCAAGCCTGCAAAACTGGGAGTCCACTCAGGAAGGGAGGAGGCTAGCGGCATTTGCAGGAAGCCTGTTTTTTTTTTTTTTTTTTTTTTTTTTTTTAATGATCTGAAGAGTTACCAGAAGAAGTCAAGGTAAAGTGTACACAAACACGTGCACTCGTGCACACACACATGCTCACACGCATGATAAAGACAGTCTACAGTTCTTGGAGATAAAGGGGCATTCAAATCTGGAGCAATAGGGTGAGCAGGGCAGGGGCCAGGGGATATGGGAGAGGATGTATGGAAGGGTAACAGCCTCCTTCCAAGTCTGGCTGGAAGGGAGCAGACAGAGACTTCTAATCTGGGAGAATCAAACCAATAAAATGACACATCAATTCAACTTTTTGGGAGAGGGTAAGGATGCACAGGGGATGGGGGACTGGGGGGATAGAGTTTCAAACATCTTACATTAAAACTCTAAAGTGTCTGCTCTGTGCTATTATTCAATGGTTCAATGCATCAAAGTTTTATGCAAACATTATCAAGTCTCTTAATTAAGGAAAAATAATGACAAAAAATTAAACAACACATGTTAAAGACTGACTGCAAGAGGGCTTGCCTATAGATAAAGAGAGAAGATTTAAACATGCCAAGTAACAAAAAGACATGTGCAGGAACTGGTAGGAACTGTATAGGAGGAGGCAACTCTTGGGAGGAGAAGGAGGCAGGAGGCCTTAGAGTGCAGAGGCTGGGGTTCAGTCTGAGGCCAAGGAGCCAGGGAAGGTTATAAGAAGAGGATGGTTTGGAGGAGGAAAAACCAGGCAGGTGCACCATTCAGTTCTCTGTGTAGGTTCATGTTGGAGTGAGGTGCCCACATGGAGCCTGCATCCACTGCAACCCAGAAAAAAAGTCTACCCAGAAGGGCTGTCAGTGGATCACCCAACCACATGGCTCCTTAGTTTTTCCAGAGAAGTGGGTAATAGCAAGCTTTGGAATGTGATTGGTTTTCTTCTCCCAAATGAGCCTAGAAGGGACCGGCTTCATGGGCTGCTCATGTTAAACTGAAACAGATTCCATTCAACATGAAGATAAGCAGGTGGTCTTGGGAGAAGGCAGGCTATGGCTGACAATGCAGGCAGAGTCATAGCCTCAACTCAGCATGCTCCACTTTGTGAGAGCTCCTTTCCAAGATGCTATGTGGATGGAAAGGCAGAGGGGGGAGGTAGTGGTCTGGAGGTGAAGATGGGGGTTAGAAGAGGTTTGGGTCCTGGCCTGAGAAGCTACCCAGAAGTCATAAACAACCCTTCATTTTCTCACTCCACAATTCAACAGAGCTGCATCCTTCTATACAGTGTGAGTCATGCCAGGCTGATTGGAAAGGAAGAGAGAAAAAGATGCAGCAATCAACACTTAAAAGGAAAAGGGAAGTCCTAATGCGTTCCAAAAGTTAAAACAAACAAACAAAAAAGAATGAAAAAAAAATCTCAAAACAAAGCAACAAGAAAAAAATTCTTTAAACCAATTCAAATCAATAAAAATGAAATAAAAATAAGGAGGTGGGGAGGAGAAAATAAAAATGATGGACAAAAACAAACCAGGGAGAGACAAATGAGTGTTAGAGCAGGCACGGACAGTTAGGTCACAGACGCCATGTACTTACGTTTACCTCGGTGATTGCTATATCAACAATGCTACCCACAACAATCAAGGCGTCAAATGTATTCCATGCATCACAGAAATAGTGCTGCATGGGGCAGAGAAGCCGAGGAAAAGAGAGAGAGGAGGGGGGGAAAAAAACAAACCAACAACAAAGGAGAAAAACAAAACAAAAAGGGAAGAGGGAAAATGAAAAAAAAAAAAAAAGGTATGAAAGAAAGGAGAGAAGAGAAAAAAAATGAGAAAAGAAAGAGGTTACGTGGGCATATTAAATACTCTCTTACCACTCTATAGTTCTGGCCGATCCAACCTGGGCAACCTGGTTTTCGCGGGTGGAGAGGCCTGACAAAGCAGGGTTAGTTCCAAGGTGACGCAGGCTGGGGCCACCTGGGAGGGGAGCTGGGAGGTGCCTTGGGCCACACCCCCTGCTCCCTCCGCTGGAGCTCTTGGGCCCAGCACCGCCAGGCAGAGCTGGGATAAGTGGAAAAAAAGGAGGACAAACTCCCACTTTTTTTCCCCCACAGGACGACGGCAGGTTCAATAAAAAGCATGACTGGAGGCGGGTAAAACAGGAAATTAAAAAAAAAAAAAAACATAAAAGGAGGTAGAGAGAGAGAAAGAGAGAGGAACAGAGGAGGCGGAAGAGGTGGAAGGAAGAGGTTTCCTGGGGAGGGCAGAGTAATACTCACATTAGTTTCACTGAGAATGACATCAATTATGCTCCCAATCACGATGAGGAAGTCAAAAACATTCCAGGGATCACTAAAGTAACCCTACATGAGGGAGGGGCAGGCAGGATGGGGATTAAAAAGGAGTATTAGACAGACAAGAACAGAGCAACATCACCATCAGAATCATTGTCCAGGCACCTCAGTGTCGCTGCTGCAGGTTCTGAATACCCTCAGTCTGGCCAGGAGGGCTGGAGCCCAGGAGGGGAGGAGCAGAAAGGAGACATGGGGTCCAGCCTTCCTGCCCCGCCTTCCCTTGGTCACACAGTTCTCATCCTAACAGTTATCCCACCTCTCAGCCCTTTTCACAGAGGCCCATTCCACATCCCAGCAGGGGCAGGAGTGGGTGTGGGTGTGGACAGCAGGGCCCTGCAAGCCACAGTGGTGCAGTGACATGGCCACACTCTTTTCAGTCCCTGTTTCAGCCTCTCCTACACCTCTGGCTCTTTGTATTAGAAGGACCTGTGGGAAGGAGGGGACACAGGTGTGTGCCTCTTTACAGGGGAATGGCCCTATCATTATCTTAGGTGATAATGGCCATGAAAAAGGCCCCAAAACCTTAGCGATCAGCATGGCCAGAGGGGTGACCAGGTTATCTGGGCTAAGAGGTGACTCATGTAAAGCTCAAGAACAAATCCTGGAAACAGAATCTATAGTATCTATAGTAGGCTGGCCTCTATGGCATCAAGTGGGCTAACCCTTGCTCCTACGTCAGACCTGCCCACGGTCTCCAGGGGCAGTTCTGCCCTGGCAAAGGCTTAACTAATTGAAAGGAGACAACGCTGAGGTCAGTCTACAGTCCAGTAATGTCTCACAGGGCTCTAGACGGCACTGTCAGGGGTGCCTCCTAAGGACCTCCCCAGGTTCCTTTCCCAACATTAGCATGCTCTGATGTAAGGTCCCACCAAAATGCAAGTGCCACCCACAGTGAGTGAAGTTACCAAACCCTTGGAACAGGTTTGACGGGGTGGGCTGGGTAGCAAATATGGGGACACTGGCTTCTTAGAAAGGGAACCAAGGCAGTAAAGCCATGGAGGGGAAATACTGGCACAGAAGGGGAAGATCAATGTCCCAGCTTTATCGCTTCACCCTGTTGACAGGATTTTTGTTTATTTCTTTCTTACCAAATTTGGGGAAGGAAAATAATGAATATTCATGAAAGACTACTTGGACAACTGGTCAACCAATAGGTTGTTCCAGATGCCCTAGAGGCTCATACGGATGGGTAAGCACTTTAAAAAGAGCAGATGAGGTTCTTGGGTCTGTACCCTTTACCTCTCTGGGGACCTAGAGAGCAATGCATGATTTGTTACTTCATGGGGCATACAGCCACAGTTCAGGAAACTCTGGTAATGGGACAGTCCTGTGCCCCATGGGTGGAGTGTAAAGAGCCTTCTTTAAGAAGGGACATTTGCTCCTTTAGTATTTTGGGAAATGTATTGAAAAAGGAAAAGGCATGGCTGGCCCCATTTTTTTTTTTTTTCTCAGCAGGGCCAGCATTTCCCTGTTCTCTGGCTTCCAGGAGATAGCAATCTGGAGTTCAGCTGGTGAGAGGGTATGAAAGCAGGAAGTGTCCTCTGAAAGGTTCCCAGATCTTGCCCCAGCTCTCTTGAAGGCTGTCAACTCTCCCATTTTATTTTTTCTCACACAAGAGCCAAGCCTCTGTGTTCTTCCGTTTCCTCCTGACTCTATCCAGTTCCCTTAACTTTTCCACTTCCCACCATGCCCTTTATCCAGAGGGACAGCAAGGCATGCTGTCCTAGGGCTGTAATTCTTCAAGTGGGAGGTCAGGTCATAGGGAAAGTGGCCTCTTGGTTCCCAGGCTTTTCTGCCAAAAGAAAATAAACGCCACCTCCGAGACTTTGGACAGCTAGACCCAGGAAGCAGAGGGTGGCCAGGGCTGGGTCAAGGGAAGTTTGGCTTGAAGCCAGGGTTTTCTTGTTGGCTTTCCAGAGTATTTTCTGAATATCCTGGGGTCTTTGAGGCAGCAAGGACTTCTTTCTCCCAGAGAAGTCCTATGCTAGGAGATGGAAGCAACCAAGTCCCTCCCAGTTCTCAACTGTCATTCACAGGGCAAAAGGGGAACACTGAATTTGTCAGGGAGGGAAGTTGAGAATAAAGACCCCAAATGAACTAGATACCTGTGTGTGTTTTACAGTTAGACTTTGGAAAACTCTGGGGGCTATCTCTAGATGTGAATACCATCTTTGTGAATAGAGATGTTTCAGAAGAGAGAGGAGAGAGGTCAGGAAAGAGAAGGGAGAAGGACAGGAACAAGAGCAGATCCAGAGATGCTCAGCACCAACCTAGAAAACGTGGTAACCAAAAGTTATTGAGGTGCAGGGGCCGGAGGAGAGATAGGAGGGTAGAAATCTCAGTGCGCAAGGAAGGAGGATGAGTTGGAGACTTTTCATTCACCAGAGAGACCTGAAACAAAATGGGTAAGTTGGCCGTGGTCTGCAACATCTCTGAGAGAGGAGAGAGGGGAGGGAAGAAAGGCAGAGATCACAGCAAAAGCTGCACGTTGAAAACCAGACACACACACACACGTAGTTAATCTGCTGGTGCACACCAGGGGAAGGGGCCAAGATTTAAAGGGACCCTGTCAACCTCCAGGCTGTGCACCCCTTGGATTTCTTTGTACATGTGCAGACAGAAGGAAACCAGTCAGTCAACTTCTTCCTGATCTCCACCCTCTCCCAACCATGGCCCCATGCCAGACTCCACTGAATCTGCTGGAATCTGTTGGGATCAGTGTTTCATGGTCACCCTTGTCCTCCTCAGGCTGTACTGCTAGGGATTTTGGTTGACTTCTCTGTCCTGTGGAGAGCTACTGGTGATTTGCCACTGGCAGCAGAAACTAGTCAGTTCCCTCATTGCTAAGGGTTCCTCAGGGACACAGCCCTTTGGAGAGTCACACAGCTGAAATGAAGGGGTGGGGCACATGTCTAGGAGGGTGAACAGAGTCCCTTTGAGAGGCAGCTTTCCACCTGGACCCATCCACCCACATTCCCGTCCCTCATCCCACAGCCCATCAGTCCTCCAAGATGGACCTTGAAGATGGTTTCAGATCCAGTTTTTTAAGTCTCTGTTCCCTTTGTCACCCTCTTCCTCCCACCATTTCAACATCACCTTCTTCCAACGTCTTCCACACCCAGTTCCAGAAACAAAGCCCATATCTGCCATTTCGCCCAACAGGTTGTCCAGGGGCAACACGCGGCCAACTCCCTGGGGCCTCGGAGGGATATTTTTTCCCTACACTCTGGAGTGTGAGAGCTTGATGCCTGTCTCTTTCTATCTCTGTCACATACACACACACACGCATGTGCACACACACACACACACTCTCACCTGCATTGGCCCACCCTCTCATTTGCTGGAAAGCATTGGTAATTGGGGCTTGGGGGTGTAATAGAGAAGGGGGGTGGGAAAAACCATAAGACTTCCTTTTATAAGATCAGTTTCCTCTGGTGACTGGGTACCAAACAGTTGGGAAGTCAGGAATGGTCGGAAACAGGTTTTCCTGACTTTCCTTGAAGTGGCAAACCAAACCTCCTCCTGTCCAACTCCTCAGAACTCCACAAGCCAAGCAGGGTGGCTCAGTCAGAAGGGATGGTCTATCACAGCTGGAAGCCTTCCCCTGGCCATCGCCAATCCTACTGATTGAGTGGATTTCCCTTTCAATCCCCAGCCTCTGGCCATGCTAGGGAAGGTCACATTCACCCAGCTGACAAGCAGCCACCACCCAGGGCAGAATCCAGTCTCTGATTAGAGCTGAACTTCTACTCACTGACTGGTGTGGGCTGAGAAAATGTAGACCCAATTGATATTAATTTCACCAAATCATTATTAGGAAAAAAATGGCTGCAAAAGCATCTTATGATGTATTTCACATGCACATGAATTTTGGATTTTCTTCTTCTTCTTGTAATTTGTGCCTGGATTCGGCTCTGTCATTGGAAGTACATCAAGTTGAAAGAGGCAGTATAGTGGTTCAGAGTATTATCTTTGGAGGTAGATTGGTTCAAGTCCTGCTCTGCCACTCACTAGCTGGGTAACTGTTAGCCTTCTGTGACTATGACAAAATACCTGAGATAATAAACTTAATAAGGAAAAAGATTTATTTTGGTTCATAGTTTTAGAGGTTTTGCAGTCCATGGTTGCTTAGCTATGTTGCTTTGGGTCTGTGGTGTCACATTGATCATGGTGGAGGAGGCCTATTCACCTCATGGCAAGCTGGGAAGTGACAGGGAAGGGTAAGACTGGAGTCCTAGTGTTCCCTTCCTTCCACTAGGCCCCCACTTCTTAAAAATTTCACCACCTCCCAGTAACACCATGGGTTGGTGATTGAACCTTCAAC